AAGGGGGGGGTGAGGGGGTGAGGGGGCGAGGGGGCGAGGGGGAGAGGAGGTTAAGAAGAGGCGTATTGAAAGAAATCATTAATTTGGGAGGGAGGTCGAGTAAATTGACGGTGCTCCTCGTGAAAAAAAAGCATCATTCGCCCCACGTTGATACTGAAAAATGTAAAAAATCACATGATTAAGGGCCTATGATTCATGTGTAGCCGAGGAGTGCCTTATTATTTGAAGACCAGCCTCCATTTTATCCTTGATTACCATCAATTAATAGCGTTGTCAGTAATACAAAGTAACCCACAGAACTCCAAGTAATGCCTATATTTGTAACTTCCTAGCTTTCACTGCCCTACTTCCTGTTTGATAAGAACAACTATGCCGAAAAAGCATCATTTAGAACTCGAAGAGTACAAAGAAGTAAAAAAGGTAGTATAGCTTATTCCATCAATGTTAATTCTACACTGTCAAATTCGCAGTACCATTGTACTGTAATAATTACCCGCTGAAGTTTGTCATTTGCCGTCTTAGTCAAAGATAAGAGAAGGCTGACCAAATTGGAGAATAGGTTTGAGCATCTGAAGCGTAGCGTTCAGCCACATATGAGAAACGGTTTCTCCCTGCTGTGAAAGTATCTCGCTATCCCACTAAACAGTTCTAATTGACAAAATTTCCCATTCCTTATTTGCAGTTGTCAAAAGCTTGCACAGAAATCAGATATTCCTCGCTTTTTTACTATCAGAATCACTCTAGAGCAAAAATGATATGTAATTAAGCCCTATTGGGATAAGGTTGTGCACTGTACAACAGAAGATTACTCTCACTTTGAAAAATCATCGAATGGTATGAAATCAATGATCGATATACGTGTCGAATGATTTTGTGAGTTTTTGAGTTCCTATATTTCCATCATAGGGGTGTGCGATAGACTTATCTCCATGTGGTGTACCCTGGGCAACGTATATTCATACGGCAAAAAAGTCTATTAACTGGCAGTTGACTTCTCACTTCAAACTACTATCACCCCACTGTATGCCATTCCACTACTTCCACAGTACTCAACTCACCTTTTTTCTATCTTTGTGTCTGTCTCTTACATCTTTGAAACACTCCTGTTCCCTCCCCCCCCCCCTCTCGAATTTTTTTCACTTTGATGTTCCTTCCCCTCTGTGAAGCCTGAAGTCAACTAAAGGGCAAATGATAACCATCAAGACGCCTTCCATTTGATATAATTAAATAAATAAATATTTCCATCAGTGACGGCCTTTTCTTTAATTACTCCAGGATTTGCCCTCATTACCAAAGCCCACATTTCTTTAAAGATTCTATGAAAAAAAATATGAATTAATACTCAACCTATACCTCCCTTGATTATTTCTTGTAAAGAATAAAATAGACATCTAGAATAAGGTAAAGCATCACTCAGAGATGGCATTAGACTATGGAAAGCAAAGTAGAATCTTCTATGGATCATTATCTCTTATTCTACAACTTCTCTGTGAATTCGTATTAGCTGAAGCAGATGGCAGTTCTAACAATTGGATGAAAATAAAACAGACGATTGCCACTCTTTCAGCTTCTGGTGTGATGAACAACCATACTATTTCAAATTCGGAAAATTGACCTTCCAGAAGTTTACCTCGTTTCGTAGTATCATTGAATGCAATTACATTAGCAATACTAGTTGGACTCTTCATCAATTTCCAAAAAGCTTTTTACTATTCCATTGTAGTCAAATCTTCAACTTTAGTATTTTAAGTTGGTTACTTTTATGTTCCAATTATAGGTGTGGTAATAGCAAATAGATGGCATGCTGTTAGCAGTGATATTTTAAATAAAATAAACCAGGGGTATTCCGTTTATCACATAAAAATACAAACAAACCAAATTACGGAAAATTCTTTTGCATTTAAAATCGATTATTTTTAAAAAAGGCAATATCAATAAAGCGTTCAAGCCTCGTTAAAAAATATTTTGCTTTACCACACTCATAGTATTCAATTATTAAGTCATTAACATTTAAGATCCCTTGTACGATGCATAAGCAATAGTGTAAGTGGCCAACAGACAGGTGAAGAAATAGAATTATTCCTTCTAAGGATTCCTACGGCTTCCATCTTGCCCACAGAGCTTTTCTCGAATTGTGCTATGTTATTATATTGTCATTTGTCATTGATCTAAAGGTAATGTTGAAAAGATACTAGCTCGAATAGTACATTTTTATATGCGTTGCTACTAGCAAACTTAAGTAGTGTGCAGCAGAACAAGACTTTAAAAACGAGCATTCCCCCCATTTAACCAATTTCTGAATAAAGATAATATAATAATTTTAAGTATTATAACTTTATTTTCCCCAAAGCTAATCTTAGCAGTCATTCTATTTTAAGCGCTGTAACAGAACATGGGCAGGGTGCAGCAAAAGGACATGTTGATTGTATTAAATTGTGCAATTCTCTATACCTCCTTTCAATTGTCAAAAGCAATTAGCGATATCAATTTTATACAGCAGAGCTCACTATATTTCTCCAACGATGAACACTAATAGCACAAATTATGGTATGATATATAGTTGTGTAAGTAGTAGATTTGATGAGATTAATAAGACTAATAGATCAAAGTGATGGTACGTATTGTATTTATGGGAAAGACTGAAATTAAAGGAAAAATTAACACCTCTTTAAGAACGGAAAAATAAGAAATAATATGAAAACTGTCAAAATCGATGAGTTTCAAGTTCGTTTGGACAACCTACTTTAAATTCAATTATTGGTCCCAGTTTCGTTTCATGTAGACGTTTGAGGTGACTAAAAAAAGGTCTCAACGTCAATGAACTGGATCTGAATACGTAAAATTAAACTGATTAAAACGACCTACTTCTGATATAAGTTACCCTTTAAAAATTGTTCCGAAATTCATTTTAATCGATCGGAAATCTTGAAGGTTCATTTCTCTTTCAATTCGGTTTGAATCTTGTAAACCTTTTCCTGAACCACAATTAGATACCAATCCGAATCAACTAATTGCAATGCTCCTAAAATTAATGAAGTGTCTTTTAACATTTACCAATTACCAGATTATGTAACATTTTCATGCTCTCCTACCCTTTAAGCACATCCTGGGGTTGTCTGATGGTGCTGATAGTTCTGGAGGTAATTGGCAGGTATCGAACGGTGAAAAACGAATTGAGTCCATACAATCTGGATCAGTTGAATCCTGTAAGGCTATTGAATTCCCTTCTTCGTCTATTTCTATTCCATTGGATCTTGTAATCAGCAACCTTACTGATCCATCTGGTTCCTGAACAGCTGAAATCCCTCCAAGATCAACCATGTCGTCTTCTATTTCTTCAGATCCAATAGCGTCTGGTCCTGTGCAAAGTTGTTGATCTTGCGATATTATTTTTGCTTCATCTGGGGAGTGATAAATATACCTTCCCATTGCTTTTTCTTGAATATTTCCTTTTAAATTAGTGTTACAGATATCATTTTCATCCATATTTATAAAATTTCCTTTAGATGTCCCAACTTCTTGACATGTTAATATCCTACTGTCAATATCATTATTGGTGTCAAATGTAGTATATTCTTCTGGAATTGATACACACTTAGAATCTGACTTAATTGCTGTTGTAGAGGAGCCAGGTGAGTGAATTTTGGCTGGAGAATAATCTAGGGTTTTAAGCTCTTCTTCGTAGCTACTAGTGGTCAAAAAGATAGGTGCAGTTTTGTGACTAATAGTGGTTGGTATTGTTTCAATTTCCAGACAATATTCTGCATTAAGTGAATCGTTGGAGGAACCTGGTTGATTAGCTTGGATCAGAAACAGAGAACAATTTCGTGGAATTTTAATTGAGTTCAGACTATTTCTTCGGGTTACACCAACGGAATCAGAAACGTCATTTAGAACTTTTTTGCCATTTTCCCCATTATCCATTGATGCTAAGTCTAATATTGATCCATCTTGTTTGATAAGATACATAGAAGAGTTATCGGGGACTGTCAAAGGTGGGATCATATTGGAAACACCTGCTTTTCTTTTAGTTGGTTCTTCTTCGTTTGAATCCGAATGTAAGATCACAATCTCCGATGGCTTCCTTTCAGTATGATCTTGACTATAATGCTGACCAGATGGAATAGGTAGATCTAGCTCCACGTCACAATGTAATGTATTTCGAAGTGAAGACGGTCTCGGAGTAATAGAAGATTCCATATTTTCATATTCCCTCGAAAGATTACGACTTCTACCAGAATAGGTATTCTGATTAGTAGGATGGCTTCTTGATGTACATCTGCAACAAATGCTACACCTGTAAATACCAGTTCCTTCATCATTATCTGGTACACAAGAAATAGTGGGTAGCTGATTGTATCTTGGCACACGATTCCTATTCTCGTTCGTCTCCTGGTACTCATGTGTATCCAAATTTCGTTTGGGGTCCCCAGAATTCACTGACGAACGTGGTGGTTTGAGATAGACATTGGAAATATCTGAGGTAGGAGTGTAGAATTTAACATACGTTGATTCTTCTTGTCCGCAGACTTCGAATGAACAACCGTTAAACTTTATTCTACTGCAATTTGGAACTGATGAATGCACTTTTGAACTCGGGGTTTCACCAGGTGTTCGAAAGTTTTTTTCCCCAATCGATTTATAGTTGGGCTTTTCAAATCTTTGGTTAGGTCCTAATGATGCGCAAAATGTACAGCAAAAAGGTCTTACTGGATCCTCTTGTCTCAACGACATTTTTTTAAACTCATTTAAGCAATATCCCTACAGGCTTCGTTAACCATGTACATAAATGTGGATAACACGTGCTTTTGTAAAAGCGTGGCATGGGCTTGAATATCATCAGTCACATTTTTGAAAAAAATATCGGCTAGAAACTACATTTGAAATTTATACCCTGTAGATAAATTATGGGTTACTACGTTCTACATGCTATTAAACCTATTTCTCTTCATATAAGGATGATTGGGTCTTCGATGTCATTTGAAAACCAATTTTATATTTTAATGAAACATTCTTATAGATGAGGATAGAGAAAGTAAGAAATATTGAGAGACCTTTTTTTATTAAAATAGGCGTAAGGTTAAAATCAAGGTTAAATATGAGTTTGCATTGTAAGTACTTAAAGCTACAGCTTCAGTTCCTGGAATCTTAAGACAAATGTAAAATAGTTATATCAAATGGCAGGCATTTTGATAGTTTAATTAGCCCTTTAGGTGATTTCAGGCCTCACAGAGGAGAAGAAATATCAAAGTGAAAAAAAATTCGAGAGGGGGGGGGGAACAGAAGAATGTTTCAAAGATGTGAAAGAGAGACACTAAGGTAGAAAAAAGGTGAATTGGGTACTGTGGAAGTAGTGGAATGACATACAGTGGGGTGGTGGTAGTTTGAAGTGAGAAGTCAACTGCCAGTTAATAGACTTTTTTTGCCGTATGAGTATACTTTGCCCAGGGTACACCACGTGGAGGTAAGTCTATCGCACACCCCAGTATCGGATACATACTAGAAGAGTAAATATCACATAGTCTAGCCCTTTGG